TCGTGACATGTCACTGGCCACCGCAGCCACTGCTTCATCGGTCCCTGGCCTTCATTCCTTTTGCTCCCCTCTGTCCACGCTCCCTATCATCCCACAGCTAGAGGGAACTTTCCAGAACTGGCTGGGAGTGGCCTGCCAGGGCTGCCAGCCCCTCCCAGAAGGGCAGCTCGCCCCAGCATTCTCGGCCCCACCAGCCGAGATCACCTGCCTGGTCTCTCCCATCGGATCCCACCTGCCACGGGTGCTTTAATCCCCAGCATGTGCCCTGCAGTTTATTACCTGGTGACCCCAGTGTCGGTCCAGACACCTCAGACACCACGAGGTTTCAGTAGAACGTTTTAGTACATGTAGTGAGTGAGATGTTTGGGACATGTACCACACGGTTGTTCACTGGTTACCTGAAACGCAGATGGAACTGGGAATCTTGTATTTCTATTTGCTAAATCTGGCAGCCTCAGGCCTGCCCACGTACTGAGGACCAGGGCGACTGCTGGGACCCTGAAACTCTGCCCTCTCGTTGGGGCCCGGAAGGCTCCTTTCCAGTCCACGGAAGGGGCTGGAGCCCCTCCGCACTGCACTGCCCGCGTCTCTGCCCCCTGGGCCTCGGTGTCCTCCCCTGTGTAACTAAACATGTAATGAAACGCCGGTTTCTCCGCTTGCCTCCCAGCCTCGCCCCAGGGCCAAACACCTGAGCGGAGGACAGGACACGCCCAGAGGCAGGGGGCCAGGGCCAGCGGGGGCCAGCCCTGTTCTTTGTCTCCCTGCAGGACCTTGAGGGAGCCGGACAAAGGTCTTTTCTTTTCCCCAAAGCACCTTGTAAACCTGGGAAGCCGCCTCAGGGACAACTCAGGCAAGGATCTTCAACAGATGCTAAGATCAGCAGAGGACACTTTCACACGGCATCAAAGTAAAAGCTCCCTTTGCAGTGCGGAGGCCGGGCAGGCGCCAGCAGCCGGAGGACTCCTCTGATCCCAGTCTCCAGGTTTATGGGGACCGGAGAGACCTGCCAGGTCAAAGCAAGGATGACAAGGATGACGCTCGACCTGGGATTAGAGCCTGGGCCAGGAGAGACATCACAGGGCCACTGGGGCAGGAGGACTGTGGGCCGGGAGGGAGGGAAGAGTGTTGTTCCGGGCTACAGCTCCTGAAGCTGGCCGTGGCGCAGCGGCGGGCGGGCAGGGGGACGGCCCTGGTCTGGGGAGACACGGGCAGGAGAGCTTAGAGGTGAAGGGTCACACACGGCCGCTGACTCTCCGTGGTTCAGCAAAAGCAAACAGATCGATGGTGTAACCAGAAAAGACACCGGCGTTCGGGCTGCCTGTCACTACCAAACCCAATAAGCAATGACAGGGATTGAATCTTTGATAGGTGCTTTATTCAGATGGCCGGTGATCCAAGAAGTTGGGGGGTTCAGCCCCTAACAAACCATCTTCCCGTTTTTCTTTCCTGGCCAGATCGTTTATAAGGGGGTTGGGGAAGGACAAACGGGTGGGTCGGGGAAAGCCTTGAAATTCCAAGTGGGAGGGGTAGTCACCAGCTCTTCCCGATTGGGATGTCTCCAGGCGGTAATCTCTAGCCAGCACCCCAGGAGGTCAGCCGCTTTTTCTCAGGCTCCAGATGGGCCTTATCTCTAGTTTCTGAAACAAAAACTTAACATGCACATTACTTGCTAGATTTATGGCTATTTACCTGAAGCTAAAATTTTGCAAGTCTTAAGCCCCCTGTGCATAGGGAGTAAGGGGGTGGGGGTGGGGTCAAATAATGACAACCGGTGAATCTGAGAGTTCATCCCACTTCTCCCGCACTTCTCTGTGCATGGGGCATTTTCCCAAGTAAACGTCTGAGCGAACATGCACCCAGAATAAAACGTCAGGAGCAGGAGTGTCTTCCAGTCTCTGCTGCAGCCCGACGCCCTCTCTTGGAGGACGAGCTGGGAACAGAGGGCCTTGGCCTGTGGTCACACAGTGGGTGGCAGCTGAACCTGCCCCACTTGGTTTGGGTCCCAAGAGCAAGAAGGAGGCCACCTCCTCACTGCAGTCCCAGGTCTTCTCCTGCCCTCATGCCCTACCCCCTGAGGCCGCCCCACATTCCTGCAGGAGGTGAGCAGCCCCCAAGGCGTCTGGGAAGAAATCTACGCTTCCCTCTCCAAAGAAACTTGAACCAGCACTGCCTGCCCACCAGCCCCGAAGGGACACCCTGCCTTCCAAGGTGCAGGCAGGATCAGACAGGCGGGTTGAGCGCCGGCCTGGGACCTGAGGGCCTCCTGCTCAGTTCCCCATTAACACACATGCAGGCCTTGTCCTGGTAGGGGACTTTGAGAGGCAAGCAAGCCATGTTTTTCTCCCTCCCTTCCCTTCTGTCTAAAAATTAATCTTTAAAAAGAGGGAGGTTCAGGGAAAAGGGGTCTCCCTTGGCTATTGCAAGCCGGTCCAAACCCCAGGAAGAAACTCGCGAGTTGAGGCCCCACTCAGTAACTGGGGAAGATAAATGCCCCTTGGCCAGTCCCTCACCAGGGGAAGGGACAGCTGCAAGACGGGACTGCTGGGCCGGGCACCAGGCCGCCTGGAGGGCGTGGCCGCAAGGGGTGTCCGGTGACTCGGGAGTCATGAGAGTCCAAAGCTCCTAAGCAACCGTCCTGACCACGTGGGCGCCCTGAGCACACAGAATCCGTCCCCAGGTTTGGCTTCGTTTGCAGCCTTTGTCCACTCCTGCACCAGGTGTGGCCTCCCCAAGTTCATGTGTGGCCATGGGTGGGGTCCCACAGCTAAGCAGGAGCCAACGCCAGAGTGAGGCCAGACCTGGAGGGCAGGTCATTTTCGAGGGAAGCTTCCAGATACAACCCGGAGTGAAATCTCCTTTTGCGCTGTACTCGGTGAAGGGTGTCAGTGGACTGACGTATAAACACAGGCAGGATTGGTTACAGCAAGAGCAACATTGTGAACGATGTTAAATTTTACGTACAGAAGCAACTGTGAAGACATTCACACAGATAAAGAAGGAGAGAAATGGCGGGTTGATATGACCTTAAGAGAGGCAGTAACAGTGTACATAATTTACTTATTTATTTATTTTTAGAGAGGGAAGGGAGGGGGAGAGAGAGAGAGAAACATCAATGTGCGGTTGCTGGGGGTCATGGCCTGCAACCCAGGCATGTGCCCTGACTGGGAATCGAACCTGCGACACTTTGGTTCACAGCCTGCGCTCAATCCACTGAGCTATGCCAGCCAGGGAGAATCCATGGCCATGAGGACGCTCCACGGAGAAGGACGCCTGCGCAGTGGCTGACCCAACCAGCACCTGGCAATGGGAAGCTGTGGTCGGGTGTGCTGAAGCCAAGCTTTCCGATTCGATTACTTTTTTAAAAATATTCAAATTGCATGCCCTGGCTGGAGTGGCTCAGTTGTTTAAGCATCGTCCCACAAACCAAAGAGTCACTGGTTCGATTCCCGGTCGGGGCACATGCCTGGGTTGCAGGTTTGGTGCCTGGTTGGGGCACATACGGGAGGCAACTGATTGGCGTTTCTCTCTCACATCAATGATTCTCTCTACCTCCCTTCCCCTCTCTCTGGAATAAAATTTTTAAAAGATTTTATTTACTTACTTTTAGACAGAGGGGAAGGGAGGGGGAAAGAGAGGGACAGAAATGTGGATAGACGTGTGGTAGATACATCATACATCAGTCGGTTGCCTCTCACATGCCCCCCAAGCACGGACCTGGCCCACAACCCAGGCTTGTGTCCTGACTGGGAATCAGTCCAGTAACATTTTGGTTCACAGGCTGGCACTTGAGCCGCTGAGTCACACCAGATGGAATCAATTAAAAAAAATTTTAAAAATAGTGATCATGAAAAGTGAAATAATTTCTTTGGGCCTGCTGTGTCACTTACCCCTGTATACCGTGGTACCAGGCCCCTCCCTGTGCCCCGGCCCTCCATGCTACCCCAGCTCCCTCTCAAAGCCAGGAGCCGCTCCCCACTTGCCTGAATCCTCCAGGACTTGCCGCACACCCCCACAGCCCAGTTCCATGCCCCCACCCCGGGGCCCCCCCACTGTCTCACCCAACCTCACCTCACAGCACCGCCCCCCCAGCTCTGGCCTATCAGCCCCTTTGGCCTTGCCGACACTGCGCCTGTCCACCCCATCCCCGCTTCCAGGCTCTCCCGGTTCCCTCTGCCGGGCCAGCAGTCCGCTGCAGGAACACATCGCCCACCGCAGGCCGGCTGGTCAGGGTACCAGGAGCTGGGATTTGGATCCCAAACCATCATTCCAGGAGGGGAAGGCCAGAGAGTGCTCCTGGGGCCAACGCGGGGCTACCTAGAGGACGTGTCCACTGTCTGCTACATTTACTCACCCCACAAGTACTTATGAGCGCCTACTATGAGCAGGGGACTTCAACGCCGAGTGGGGAGCCCACAGGTCACTGGGAGGGTGGAGGCTGGGGCCAGACATCCCCCAGGGTACACGCAGGATGACTTCAGCTCACCAGTTAGTGCTAGGGAGACCTCGGGGGCTGCCTGACTAGGGATGGGGCACGCCTTGCGGAGAGGGAACACGGGATATGATGATACCCGCACAATAAGCCAGGGTGGTCCTGAGGCAGCTGGGAATAGGGGTCCAAAGAGGGGGAGTGGCGTGTTCAAAGGCCTGGACGTGGGATCGAACTCAGCAGAGTCGGCACAGGAATGCCCTGAGGCCCAGCCACGTGCTCAGCGGCACCATTTGGGGCCAGGCCAGGCAGGGCCTGCTCCTGCAAGCCTGGGAAGCTGCGGCGGAGTTTCCGGATTTTATTTCAGTTCGCATCTGGGGGGAGGGGGAGGGGCGCCATCTTCCTCCCTTTACCATGGCAAACGAGGCCCAGAGGAGGCCAGCGTCGCACCCGAGAACGCACAGCACGCGGGCGCGGCCCCGGCCGCGAGCGCGCGCGGTGCGTCTCTGCCGGGGCGCCCACTCAAAGTGCACCCGGGAGCGGACGCGGATGGGGCGGGCCCGCGCTCGGCCTCCCGCCCCCGCGCCCGGACTGGACCCGGCCGGGTCCCGCCCTCCTCCGAGGGTGACGCGACCGCGGGGCGGGCCCAGGGTGCGGCGGCCCCTCTGTCTCGGCGGCGGCGGCGGAGCGAGCGCAGCGCGGCGCCACCATGGGGGCCCAGCTGAGCACGGTAGGCGGCGAGGGGCGCCGGGCGCGGGGCTCGGCGTCACTGCGCACCGGCTGGCATCCGGACCTCAGGCTCCCGCGGCGCCGACTGCGACCTGGCCGCGAGGGGCGGGGCGGCGGGGTCCGGGCGCGGGGGCGCGGCAACCCACCCCGCCGCACCCTGGCCCGCGGTGCTCCACCCCGCCGCACCCTGGCCTGGGCGTGCCGGCGGCCGCCGTGACTCACGCCCTGGCCGCCTTTGGGGGACCCGCGCCCTGCCCCGTGGGCGTGTGAGAGGCCAGCACCCGCCGGTGGCCCTGCCTGCTGCCCTCATCCCCGCCGGTCCTGCCAATGGGGAGGAGGAGTGCGTGCGCGTGAGTGTGAGAGAGCGTCTGTGATCCAGAAGTTGGTGTGCGACTGAGTGTGACAGTGTGTGTGACATGTGACTGTGTGAATGTGACTTGTGAAAGTATGCCTGAGCAAGTGTGAATGGGATGTGAACGTCAGCGTTGAATGTGAGTGCACGTTAGTGTATGTGCTCATATGTGTGACGGGTGTAAAGGGTGGCTGGGTGTGAATTGCGAGTGTGCGTGAGTGTGTGTGAGGGCGTAAGACAGACTGAATGTGTGTGACTGAGTGAGCAGGTGTGTGGGTGGGCGTGTGGATGTGGGTGGACCATCTGCCTGTGTGAATAGTGTTAGAGTGTGAATGTGTGTGTCCGAGTATTTGTAAATGTGAGCGTGAAAGAGTGTGTGTGTGTGAATGTGTGTGATGTCGCCAGATCGGAGGGATTTCGTGTGTCTTTTCACAGCAGCCGCCCCGGGCCCTTCCCCCGTTACCCCAGCGAAGCTCGCTGCTCACCTAGCGGCGAGCGGCGGTGGTGCCGTTGGCCGGCCGTGGTGCAGATGGAGGGCGCGCGCTCAGGCCTGGCCAGCGGCTTGTGGTGGAGCCTGACTTTGTGGGGCTCCAAAGTCCACTGTCACACTGTCACTCTGGGTCGTCCCAGGGCCTCCCTCCTGCCTCCCACCAGACCCACCTCCTGTCCCCGACATCTCAAGAGCCACCGTGGAGGGGGTGGAGACTGTAGTCAGAGAGCAGCCCCCACCCAGGGTGCTGGCTGGGTGGGCGTGGGGGCTGGCCCTGGGAGGCATGGCCCAGCGCCGCCCCCTCCCCCTCCAGCCCAGGCGCCTTGGGCTTGGAGGGCACCTGCCCCCTCCCTCTGACTCGCCCAGGCTCCTCCGGGATGAGGCCAAAGGGTGTTTGCTCAGGGACGTGTGGCCCAGCCCAGCACTCGGGGACATTCGGACCGAGGGGCAGCCTCTCCTGGGGCGGACTGTGCGCCCGCACCTCAGTGTGAGGTCCTGACCGTGTTCCCAGAATTTGCCCCTCCCCCCCAGCCCCCACTCCCATGGTGCTTTCTCACCTTCTAGCCATTGTCATTGGATCTGTCACTGTTCCCAGCTTGTGGCTGTTCCCCACATGGTCAGCCAAGGCCCTCTGGCAGCTGGCAACCACCATGTAAGGGGCAGAGCCCCGTCTTGGAGTCAGGAGACCTGATCTGTCCAAGCGTTGGCGGGAATTGCCCCTGCCTCGTGGGCCCTGCTGGGACCCCCAGTTGGCCCAGAACCCCCACCGCAGACGCTGGCCAGGCTGCCTGGCACAGGGGCGCCGCCACACAGTCTACAGGAGGCCAGTGAGGGCCGCTGCGCCGGGCACCTTATCTGGGATGTGCAGGCTCCGAAGGAGGCCTCCTCCCATGCTCCAGCGGGGCTCCCCCGTGGGGTTGGCACTTGAGTCTGCCCGCCACCTGGGGGGGACGTTGGCCACTGTGGCTCCCCTGACAGGTGGGGTGAAGGCTTTCCCACGGGCCCCCACAGCTCCACCTCCTCCTCCGTGTGCCCCGGGAAGTAGGGCCGGAGCTCCCCTGCAGAGGGCAGCGGCTTTGCTGTCCACCTGCCCCTCCTCCAGGGTTCCCTTCTGCACTTGCAGGCGGGGAGCCCCTGCCCGCCCCTTGCAGAACTTCCTCCGCTCCCTCCCACTTCCTGAGAAGGGGACCAGGAGGGAGGTGGCCGCACACACCCCAGAGGGACAGTTGGCAAGCAGGCAGCAGGCAGGTGAGCTTCGGCACAGGGACCCTGGCGTCTGCTCTGCCCGGCTCGGGTGTATGGGGAGGACCAGACCTCACCTGGGCAGAGCGGATGCCAGGGTCCCGGTGGGGCATTCCAGGGGGTGAGCAGCTGGGCAGGACGCCCTGTGGCGGGGAGCAGGGCTACCCAGCTCCTCAGGTGTGGTGGGTGAGCCAGGGACACTCTGACCCTCGGGCACCCCACTCCCCACTCCCCTCCTGTGTTATCCAAGGTGAGGAACGGCGGGTTGTGGCGGGGTGGGGGGTGTTGGTTCCGTGATGGGACAGAGCCCAGCCTGCAGAGCCTCAGGCCAAGGCCTGCGGGGCCGTCGTTTCCCAGACCCCCTGGTGGCTGGGATGGGTGTGTGTGTGTGTGTGTGTGTGTGTACGGACATATGTTTACATGTACATACTGGTGTTTACACGTACGAGCAGCGCAGTGAGGAGGAGCTGGGGGGAGGCCTTGGCCTTGGCCATCTGCCCACTGCTTGCAGGGGTGGGGGGTGCTATAGACGGGGAGCCGGGAGGGGGCTCAGAGCTGTTCCTTCCCCAGATCGTGGGGATGGCCTCGCCCCTGAGAGTCTGGTAAAGCCTCTAACTCTCCGGAGACCAAGCCTTTGCCCCTCCACTGCACCCTTCTCTCTGCCCACGTCCGTCTCCCCCACTAGCTTGAGCTCCTCCGGGGTGGGGTTCCCCGGGCCAGGGCCCCCCAAGTCCAGCACAGGTCCTGGCGGGCGTGCCCGCTGGTGTCGGCGGCCCGAAGGACTGAGGGAGCACCCACAGCTGCCTGCCCAGATAGCCATGTGCGGGCACGCGAAGTCCCCCCCCCGTGCCCTCTGGAGGGCCGGGCGTTCCCCGGGGGCGCGGAGAGGCCGTGTGGATCGGGGCTCGAGGCACGGACTCAAGCCAGACCCCTGGCCTCCAGTCCCGGCCCTTGGGGTGGCTGCCCAAGACTCAGTTTCCTCCCCTGACGTAGGGGCTGTAACTGCTCTGTCTCCCAGGCTGCGGGGTGACTGGCCTTGTGGAGCCCCCCCCCACAACCCCGTTGAGGGGAGCAGGGACTAACTAGAAGGCCACTGCCACTTGCCAGCTGCCCGACAGTGGCCCCAGTGCCACTGCAGCTCGGGGCGCCGGGCGTGCCCACAGGTGAGGACACGGCCCGGAAGCCTGTGTTCTCGGGACGGCCGTGGGGTTTCGGATACACAGGATGGGTCATGCGTGCCCCACCCTCGCCGGGGAGGGATCTGGCCTCTTGCCCTTGTTCCTGAACCTTCCAGGCGAGAGTCGGAGAGAGACTGGAGGGTGGGGCCTGTTGTCCCCTCACAAGTTTATCCACAAATAATAATTTGTGGATAGTGTGGCTGCTCTGAGCCCTGGGGGACACATTGGGGATGAGACACACGGGCCTGCCTGACCTCCTGGGGCTTCTGCCGCAGGGCCTGCTGCTGCGTGTCGACTGTGACCACGCGTGGGGGTTTGTGCCTGGGGCTGGCATGCAGAAGGGCTGTGTGAGGGCCGAGGGCCGAGGCCCGTGGTCAGGACTGGCCCTCAGAGCTGTTGACGGTCGAATCTCTCTCGTGGCCCAGCACGTACCACGGGCCAGCATTTGTGGGCTTGGGGCAGGCCAGAAATGTAGGGTGAGCGACAGAAAATCGAGAACCAGAGCTCGGGATCCACCCTGGGTCTTCCCGAGCCTCAGTTTCCCCGCTGGTCAAGTGAAGAACACAGGTGGCCTGTCTCCCGTTACTGGAGGTCACGAGGAAACGCAGGCCAAGGTGTTTGCAGGCCGAAGGGTCTTTTGATAGTGAACTTGGCCTTGCGCTGAGACAGCTGTGCTGAGGGGAGAGTAAACTCCTGGGAGCACCAAACACAGCCCGGCTGGCTCTCAGTGTCATGTAAGTTCATTGCCAAGGCTCCCAACAATGGCGATTTCCTGAGAACCTAACGTCACTCAAGGTTTCCCTAAACAGCATTCCCCGTGATGGGGCTTCTTGTATTGACCCGGGAGGGGCTCAGAGCCCCTGGTCCTCACCCCCGGGGAGTTCGCAGAGACGGGCAGAGGCTGTGGAAGCCTGCTGACCTCGGGCCCGATCAGCTAGCGAGGGCCGGTCCGGGCAGAGCTGACCTGTGGGCTGGGCTCCGAATGGTGAAGAGGAGTTCAGGGGTGGTTGGCTTCGGGAAGAGGAAGGGCAATCTCGTATGCCAAGGCCCGAGGCCAGAAGGGCCCGGGGCTGGTGGTGTCGCCATCAGTAGGGGCTGTGAGTGTGGGCGGCGGGGGCCCGGGGGTGTTTGAGGAGCGGATGCAGCGGCCTGTTGGTTTGGGCAGCGGGGCCTCCCTGTGGGAGGCAGCGCATCGGGTTGTGGTGGGTGTGGGGGCTGGGGCACAGGGGGGGCGCCTGGCCCGGGAGGGGGCTCGGGAAGAGCCCTTCTCCGTGCTTGCCAGGCCTGAGGCTGGATCCTGGCTCTACCCCGACTTGTGTGACCCGACTTGTTGTGTGACTTGATGGGCAAGTCACTCCGTCCCTCTGAGAAACAGGGACACCGTCACTTGCGGTGACTGTGGTCCCCTGAGGATTGGCTTCGGCGTGACTGGGGACGAGTTACCGGCCCCCTCTGGGCCTCAGCCTCCTCACGGCGCCTGTGGCCTGGGGTCCAAGCGACGGTTGTCCCGTGATCCGTACCTGGAGCATCGTCACCTGGGGACCTTGGCCACCTTCGCTCTGCGCGTGGCCTGTCCCTGCCTCATGTCCTCCCTGGCCGTACAAGGGCGCATCCCCATGCACTTGAGGAAGTTGGGGACGGCAGTTTCTCTCCCGTGGCCCTGAACCGGGGACCCCCGAGTCCAGGGCTGCCCGCCAGGGCCTTCTGTGAGGCCCGGGTGGGGTGAGGTGCCCAGAGCGTGGTGGGTGCTGGTCACACGGGCAGGGGGCCCTGGGCAGGCGCCCAGCCTTCTCTCAGCCCCTTCCACAACAGATCAGGGGCCCCGCAGGGCGTGGCCTCGGCCGCACCCAGCCCGGGAGAGACGCACATTGCCCTGAGCCCCATAAAGGGCCTGTCACCTCCAGGCACTGGAAGCCACTGGGCTGGTTCGGGGGCCGGGGGCCAGGCTGGGCGCGGGATCTTGGCGCCTCTGCCCTTCCTTCGCCTGGGTGTTCCGACTCCCCGGTGGGAGGGGCCCGTGAGGGTGGCAGGGAGAGCTCCTGTGTGTGTGCCCATGGTCATCCAGGTCATCGAGCACTCTGACCGGGGCCACCCCCATCTCTCATCCTGGCTCCAGCTGCCCAGGAGGCGGGGCCGGGGGGGGGTTGGCCCGTGGCTCTCACCTTCCTCCTACAGAAGGGGATGCTCAGGCTCAGAGAGGCCCCCTCAGGTGGATAGAGTGGGGGGAGGGCTCCCAGGAAGGGGGAGGGTGGTAGGGCTTGGCCTTGAGAAGTGAAGGTCCTCTCACTGAGCCCTCCATAGGGCAGGGGCCACCTCCGCGTCTGTGTGCTACAGAGTACGCTACCTCCAGAACCCCACAGAGGAAGCCGAGAGGCCCCCATGGGAGCAAGGACCTTAGCTGTAAGCTTCCTGGCAGCCAAGGCAAAAAGGGGACCTTGTAGGATTAAGATAAGAATGCTCACAGCCGTTTGGCGAGAGAACTGAAGTCGAGGAGGTTTCCTAGGAAGAGGGAGTGAACAGCTTGAAACGAGTTTGAGAACCAAACCTGTTGTGTGGGGACTTTTGGGTCCGGACCTCACTCTTTGATACGCCAGCCCCCACTTTGTATTTTGAGAGAATTTCAGGCTGCCGGTGACATTGCAAGAACCTATAAGGGGCTCTTGCATACTCTTCACCCGAACGGACCAAGTGCTGACACCGACTGTGCGTGTGTTACTGTGCGTGCGTCTTGTTTAACTGGGTGAGAGTGTCACAGACAGACTGTCCCTTTGCCCCTAAATACATCTGTGTCTTCCTAAGAACAAGGACATCCTTTTGCCTTACCGCAGAGCAGAGAGCAAATCATGGACGTAACAGGGACACGGCGTCAGTGTCCGATCATGGGCCCGAGGTCACGCGTCACTGCGGTCTCTGTACTCCCCTTCAAAACTGTCTCCCCCCCCACCCCGCCCCAGGCCGAGGTCTAACCCAAAACCTCACGTGGCCTCCTGATGTTCTGTGTCCCTGGTGGCAGGGTTAGTTCCCGGGGGCTGCCCCCACACGGTTGCAGACGAGGCGGCACAGACAGCACCACAGAGATTGACTCTCCACGTTCTGCGGCCGGGTCTGAAGTCAGCAGGGGGTGGGGCAGGGCTGTGCTCCGGGGGGCGGGGGGGGGGGTCGACCAGCGCCCTTCCCGCCTCTTCCCGCTCCCCTCGTGGCTTGTTTTAGAAAAACCCAGACCACCCCTTAGGGTCCATACGAGACTGAGCTGTGGGGGGGGCAGGGCGTGGCAAGGAGGGGCCTCTCGGGGCCACGCGCACGGCCGATGCAGCGTTGTCGCAGGGGCAGGTGGCCTCAGGTGACGGTGGCCGGGTCACCTCGCGTCTCCGAACTTTTTCCTCACCTGGAAAATGCTGGTGGCGCCCGTCGGGCCCTCGCAGGGTTGTCCTGAGTTAGCGCCCGGGCAGGGTTCCGCGTGGTGCCCAGCGGTGGCCTCTCAGTGCTTCGAGACCCCCGCAGGTCGCCTGGTCCAGTTCAGCCCAGAGAGGGGAAGGGACTAGTCCGAGGTCACGCAGCCGGCCAGGAGCCCAGCTCAGTGCCTTAGCCGCCCCTCGCAGCTGAAGGCAGGACCCCAGGGCTCAGGGGGCTGCCGGGGGAGCGCAGGTGCACAGCCCTCGAGAATACGCACGGTTCCTTGGGACCTTGACCCAGCTCTCCGGCAGCCGAGGCACAAGGAGGGGGCACGAGCCGTCGTGTGGCTCTCCTTGCCCTGTTCCTCGGGGAAGTGGGGCCTTTCCGAGGACCCCCTGAGGCACCGGTGGGCTTCACATGCGTCTGGGTTTCGTAGCCCCTCCCAGCCAGCGCCAGAACGGGCGCCCGGGTTCCCGGGAGGAGGGTGGCGAGCAGGGGGCGTTCCCGACCGAGGGGACAGCGGGACGGAGGCGTGAAGCTGTGGACCCACTGGCGTGTTGGAGGGGAGGGCAGGGCGGGGCAGGCGACGGGCCCCTCCCCGTGCCCGTGCCCGTGCCGACCTGGTGGGCCCGTCCCTGTCGTTGCAGTTGGGCCACGTGGTCCTCTCCCCAGTCTGGTTCCTCTACAGCCTGCTCATGAAGCTGTTCCAGCGCTCCACCCCGGCCATCACCCTCGAGAGCCCGGACATCAAGTACCCGCTGCGGCTCATCGACAAGGAGGTGAGTGCCGGCCGAGCGGGGGTCCCGGGGCAGAGACCCCCGGGGCACCTCTTTCCTCGCCAGCATCACAGCCTTCCTGGCGCCTCCCAAGTGCTCAGGAGGTGGCTCCCATGATCCGCCTCCTTAACAGGTGGGGAAAGCAAGCTGATGTCCGTTTCTATGGTGACCAGTAAGTAGCAGGGAGATTTGAACCCCGGTCTCTGACCACAGAGCACGTTCTCGGAACCACACTCGGTATCCCACAGAAGGCCGGACGTGGATGGAGGGACCCCTCAGGACTTGCGGACCCGGGCGCCCCTTTCACAGATGGGAAAACAGAGGGCGAGAGCAGAGGGGGGTGATCAGGTTACACTGTGAGGCAGAGGGAGGGAGAGCCAGGGCCTCGGCTCAGGCCCCTCAGGGGTCTCGGGGGCCTTCGAATCCCACTGCCCCTTCCTCAAAGGCAAGGACTCCTCCCCTCCTCCTCCCCCCGCCCCCAGGGGCCTGTACTCAGGGCCTGGCGCTCGTCGCCTCGGTGTGGTCCCCGATCTCTCCCTGGGCTCCGTCCGCCCGTCCTGGAGACTCGCCCCTGCCACCTTGTGTGACGGTGCCCTTCTCAGCCTTCGGGTCCTGAGGGAAGACCACCCCCTCCCCCTCCCCCCTTTGCCCTGTGCCCCTTACTCTCCCCGATCGAAGCCCCTCCCTGGTGCTATTGCTGGTCACTGCAGCTCCCCCAGAAAGGGTGTCACAGGGGAAACTGAGTCATGGAGCACAGAAAACCACCTGCCCCAGGCCCCACCGAGTCTCAAGTCTGCCCCACACAGAGCTGGGGCTTCCGCAGCCGATGGATTGTGTGTCCGTGATTGGACCAGGAGTTCATAGGGAGCTAAGAACCCAGGGGAGGCAAAAAGTCACCGCCTTCCAGATGAGACAACACTTATTTTTTTGATATGTTTTATACACACTTTTTTCTTACTAAGATGAAATCTTATGGGTTTTTAAAAAAAATATCTTATTTATTCATTTCTAGAGAGAGGGGAAGGGAGGTAGAAAGAGGGAGAGAAACATCGATTGGTTGCCTCTTGCCCGCCCCCAGCTGGGGACCTGGCCCAAAACCCAGGCTTGCACCCAGACCAGGAATCGAACCCTCAGCCTTTCATGTTGTGGGATGACGCCCAGCCTGCTGAGCCACACCGGTCAGGGCCGCTGCTGATACTGCTGCTGTGCTCCGCCTCGGGGCCGGGACAGGGCCCCTGCTGCCTGCCCTTCTCTCTGAGTGGGATGGGACCCGGTGATTGCAAGGTCCCCCAGTCGCCGAGTGTCGTCTGCTCAGACTGTCATGGTCTGATGGCAGCCTCCTGGATGGCTGCCCCGGGCTGAGCCGGGCCCAGTCTGGCCGCCTGACCCTGCTGTGCCCCTCGAGAGAGGCTGTCCAGCATGGTGATCATCGGTGTCTTTCTCTCATTTCTGTCCTTCCTCCAAAAATTGCCTGGCTTGTGGGTTTCTGACCTTGAACCCCAGGACCGGTCGATAATTCCGGAGCCTGCTCCCAGAAGCCTTCGGGCTCTGTTGCCCAGAGTGCAAAGGCTCCCAGGGGAGGCGACTTCAGGCCAGGGCCGCTGGGCCAGAGGGGCCCGCTGGTCACCGACAAGCCCTGTTCCGGGGGGTGGCCGCACACTGGCTTTCCTGAGGTGCGGCCCACCTGCCTCCGCTCACACCCTGCAGCGGTGCTCAGAGTGACACTCTGCACCTTCGGAGACGTCTGTGTCCCCACAGTGCCCCCCCGCCCCTGAGCGAGAACACTCTCTCTGTCGTGGACCTTGGCATGTCACCGAGCCTTGCGTGAACAAGTGCTGGGCACGTACCCTGCCTTCCCAACCGCCCCTCCACTCCCATCCTCCTGGCCGCGCCAGGTGCAGGGCAGACCCCCTGGCCGCCCGCGGGAGCCCCGCGGGGATCAGGGTTCGGTTCCCAGCTCTGACCACAGCTCACCTGGCCTCGGTTCGAGACCACCCAGGGGTGGAGGGGGGTTCTGGGGCTTTAATCCCAGCTTCTCCCTCTGCACCAGCCTCTGCCCCGGCCTTGGCGGGGACATGGCTGCCACTTTCCCACCCGTGGACCCGGGTAGCAAGGCTGCCCTGCCTCCTGCCCTCTGCCGCCAGCTGCTGCCGCCCCGGCGCTCGGTCCGTTCTGAACGGGGGTTCCTAGAACCCGTCTCTGGGGCGTAGGCCTGGACGTGCAGGGCCTTGTCTCGGCTCCGCCCCGAGTTTGCCAGTCCAGTCCCCAAGCCCTTCCTGCCGCCTCGGGGCACCGCTCAGTCTGGGGGCAGAGGCGGCTCCCTCCCTCCTGTCCCTGGGGTTTTCTGGGCCAGCTCGCAGCCCCCCTTCAGTACCCTGAGCTCACTTCCTGCTCTGAGTCTTGCTGCGTGGCCCTAGGCGAGGGCAGAGCCCCCCCCCCCCAGCATGCACCCGACCTTCGTGCCCTCGCACACATTGGTGCAGGCTGTGTGTCCCCATGGGACAGCACCAGTGTCACTTCTCTGACAGACGGGGGGGGGGGCACCGGGGAGGGTGGGGGCTCTGAGCTCTGGTGGCCCCTCTGCCCTGGGTGCCATCCACCAGCTCGGGCCTCCTTGCAGGTCATCAACCATGACACCCGGCGGTTCCGCTTTGCCCTGCCGTCACCGCAGCATATCCTGGGCCTCCCTGTGGGTGAGTGCGGCCCCAGCCCGGCCTGAGCAGGGGCGGGTGCTAGTCGGAGAGGTTGGCACTTAGCGCTTCGACTAGGGAGAGCAGGGAAGGCTTCACGGAGGAGGTGGCGGCTGCTGTGGGCCCTCAAGGGTAACCGTCAGAACGGGAGAGGAAATGCCCCGGTGTCCCTGGCAGTGGCACCAGCACAAGCAACAGGGTGGCGGCGGGAAGCTGGGATGTGGTGGGAATCCCAGAGGGGGCAGTGGGAACTGAGTCAGGGCCGGCTTGGGGAGCCCAGGGCGGTGGGGGGAGAGGGCCATCGGCCCTGCAGGGGCGGTCCCTGACCCGGGTCCCCTGTCCCCATCCTGCAGGCCAGCACATCTACCTCTCGGCCCGAATCGACGGAAACCTGGTCATCCGGCCCTACACGCCCGTCTCCAGTGACGACGACAAGGGCTTCGTGGACCTGGTCATCAAGGTGAGGTGCTGGGGCCACGACCAGGCGGGGCCAGGTGTGAGGGGGACCATGTCATAGCCGAGGCCTCCAGGGGGCCCCCATCCCCCGCAGCCTGGTCCCCGAAGGTCTGGTGCTTCCTGGGCCTGGTGCCTGAGTGAGTAGCCGATTGTACTTGGTCAGCAACGGCCACGTGGGGCCTCGGCAAAGGGCAGGGGCTGGGGCCCAGGGTCACTGTCCTAACTCCTCCATGTGGGCCGCCCGGGGCCCCTCACTGGCCACTCGTGGATGGCGAGACAGAGGCAGGGCCCGCGCTCAGCCCTGGGGTGGGCACTGGGGCTGCGAGGTCAGGAGGGGAGCCTGCCCGTGAATCCTGGCTCTGGCCTGGGCCCCTTCCCAGCTTAGGGTCATGTAGACCCCTTGCGGGGTGCCCAGGCCTGGTTGAAGGACCCCGTCTTCAGCTGGAGAGCCGACAGTGAACTCAGGGTCCCTCGGAGATCAGGGGTGCCTCCAGGGGACAGGCTCGTGGTGCTGAGCTCCTGGAATGGCACCAGGCTGGGGGCAGGGGTGGGGCGCGAGAGCTGCCCCCTGAGCAGCCAGCAGCAAGGTGGGAGCTGGCAGGTGAGGAGGCCGCGACCCAGTGAAGAGGGAAGAAGAGGGCGCTACAGGTGCAAAGGCCCTGAGATCAGAGGGGAGCACAAGGACTAAAGCAGCTAAGGGGCAGCGGGTCAAGGTCGGGGTAGGTGGGCGGGGCCAGGCTGGGCCTTGGAGGCCCTGGTCGAGTTTGGGGCTCTGTCCAGAAGCACAGGGAAGGTGGTGAGGGTTCCGGCATCACTCTGGCTGGGTATGGCGGTGCTGGGGAGATTCAAGTGCAGGGTAGAAAGTTAACAACGACCAGGCCCCTCCTGGCCGGGAGACCTCACTGGCCACAGTCGGCCCTGGATAAAGGTCGGAGTCCCGGCCTGGCACACAGTGTGCTCTGACCGCCCTCCCCTCCTGCACTCCCTCCGCGGCCCCTCCCACAGACACAGCCCCGGGCTGTGGCCACATGAGCTCCTCTCCCTCCCCTGACGCACAGCCCTTTGAGGCCGCCTGGCTGCCGCACACCCTGCCCCTCCCCCGCCGTCTTCCCCCTTCTCTGCCCACCACACCTGCTTGCCCTTCGAACCCCAGTGAAAATGCCCCCGGGAGCCTTCCCAGCCTTGGGCTGGGGCAGCTGCTCCTCCCCTGTCCCCCCCATCTCTTTCCCTGAGGGTTGTAGCACTTCTTCTTTCCAAAGCTGAAATCCCCGAGGGCCCAGGGCAGGAAGTGGTTCTGAGACCGACGTTTCTGTGACAGCACAGAATGGGAAGAACTGGATGTCCACTGGGAGGGCGTGGCTGAGCCGACTTCCGGAGCCTTCAGCTCTGCCGTGCTGACGCCACTGGCATCTCCCCGCCAGAAGGAGTCACAGAGGCTCTTGGTGGAACACTAACACGGCAAATCAAGCCATGGGGTTGGTTGCCTTGTGTGCACCAGGCCGATGCTTTGCATTCTAAGGGCACGTTAGGGGGAGGGCAGACTCCTGGGCTACGGGGCCCCGATGGGTAAGTTTTGGTGGGTGGGTGGGGCGTCGTGTGGCCACACACGGGCTGCAGAAGAGCCCCTGAGGGCCACTGCCCATTGCGGCCCCGAGCTCAGCCCGGCAACCCCGGGCACGGGGGACTGAGGACTGTGGGTGTGTCTTACAGGTTTACTTCAAAGACACCCACCCCAAGTTTCCCGCCGGAGGGAAGATGTCCCAGTACCTGGAAAGCATGAAGATTGGTGACACCATCGAGTTCCGGGGCCCGAACGGGCTGCTGGTCTACCAGGGCAAAGGTGACTCGGGTTGGAACCCCCTGAGGACCCGGTGGGCCCTTGAACGCCGGGTATGGGGCCCGGCGCTGCTGCTGCTGTCTGCATGGGTGCCTCTCGTTGGGCAGGCTGTGTCCTCTCTGGGGCCTCAGTTTCCCCAGCTGTCTAGGGGATAAGTTGGGTGGCACAGGGATTGCAGACTGGCTGCCCTGGGGGGCCACCTCCAGCCCACAGACCAGCCTCGTTTGGCTGAAGACAAGCGGAAGGAAGGGTTGCGCTACAAGCCTCCCTCGCGCCAGGCTCCGCCCTGCGCCCCACGCCGTCTGCACGAGGAGCCCGTCCCGTGTCCCTCTGGCACCTGTGTCGGTCCTGGTATCCCACCATCCTCTCCCTCACCCTAACCGGCTGGGCTTGTGTGGTGGGCACCTGCACCTGGGACCCCCAGGCGAGGCAGGCTCCCTAGCCCATCTGACCCCCAAACACAGGGCCTCACCCCTCCTCCGTTCCCCAGGAAAGTTCGCCATCCGTCCAGACAAGAAATCCAACCCGGCCATGAAGACGGTGAAGTGTGTGGGCATGATCGCAGGAGGGACAGGTGTGTGGACCCGGAGCCCCTCTCGGAGCCCCGGCAGGGGGTGCTGCGGGGGGAGGGGACCGGGGCCTGGGGCAGGGCACAGGTACGAGTGGCTGTGAGCTGCCCGGGGCAGGGTCCCCGGCCTGGTTGTCCTGCACCTGCCCCCGGGAGCCGGCCTGGCACCGGCCTGTGAGTACCCAGCAGGGACTCACTCAGCCTGGGGGGCTGCCGTTTGCAGGCATCACCCCGATGCTGCAGGTGATCCGCGCCATCATGAAGGACCCGGAGGACCACACCGTGTGCCACCTGCTCTTTGCCAACCAGGTCAGTGAGCGTTCGAGAGACACGCAGACCAGCTCCTAAGGAGAGGGGACGCGGGGCCTGGTGAGGTGTTCAGGGGTCCGCATGGCTCTGTGGGGCCACTCGGGACGGCTGACGTGTGAGGGGCGCTCTGAGCGCACCGTGCACAGGCGGCCTCTCAGCGCAGAGCCCAGTGTCTGACCTCCCACTGGGGGGTGGAGAGGAGCCGGGCACCTGGACCCCCATCTGAGGTTTGCTCCCCCGGCTGCTTCCTGCAAACCTCAGAGCTCCCTCCACGAACAGCTCAGAGCCCACCAGTGGAGTGGGCAAAACCCAGCTTGGGCTGGGGCTGGCCTGGAGTCAGAGGGGCTGTTCTCACAGGTGGGGTGCCGAGAGCCCCTCTGCGTGAGGTCCCTGGGCTGGGGGTGCTGGGGCAGCGTTTGCTTGGTCTCTCACTCCTGAGTGCATGTCCTGCTCCCCACACCTGCGGCCTGCCTTCCCCGGCCTGCTGTGTGGCCCTGGATGAGTCCCTTTCCCTCTCTGGGCTTTGAACCCTCAGCCGGAATGAGCAAGGTCATCACAGGTCTTTCCTGGTTCAGTGTCTCATGACCCACTGTGTGGATTTTACAAAGTGACGGCCCTTCAGGGGGAGGCCAAAGTGAGACATTCCTTGCCCACAGCTGTCAGGGCCGTGCCCCGGCCCCGTGCCTCTCAGGTGCGGGTTCGCCCGGCCCAGGCTGCGCGCCGTCCATCTGCGAGGACGCCGAGCCCAGAGGTATGGGGACTCGCCTGATGTCCGGGGACTCTCACACAGCTCCAGAAAATTGCCCTGTGGCCACCCAGGGCGGCCTTCACGAGGCTCGGGGGGCATGACAAGAGCCAGAAATCCCCGGCTGCCGGCGGGGCCAGTGGGTGGGGTGAGCAGGCGGCAGCTGGACGTCTCCGTGGAGGCCGCCGGCCCTCTGCCACCTCGACGGAGCTGGGCATTGCCCCACTTCCGTGAGCTCTGGACACGGGGGCCCAGACACGGGCGTGGCCACTCGTGTCACAGGACGTGGTGGAACCAGGACTCAAACCGGAGCACTTTTTATGAAAAATAACCGCGTGTTTTGGAGAACGTCGTTTTGTTGTACATTTGTGGGAGCCTCTGTGATGCCTGGCTCGGAGGAGCCGCTGGACTCAGTATCTGCATCTGCGTCTGCGTCCTCTCGGCGCGGTGGCTGGGGCCGCGCTGCCTCGGGGAGCTCCGCGGGCCTTCCCGGGGGAGCAAGAGTGGAGCGCGCTACTAAAGTCCTGGTGCTGTATGAGAATCGTGGGGACCTCAGGGGCCCCCTGAAGGGTCCCCAGGACCCCAGGGGTTCACAGGTGACACTCTGAGTGAGAATGGCCACTTTGCCCCAGGCGGGTGGTTGTCCCCGCCAAGCCTCGCCCTGAAGGGAGGGGAACATGACTTTTCAGAAGGACAGTCTGGGAGAGGCGGGAGCAGCCAGGCAGTTTGGGGACAGAGAGAGTGACAGCCTGGAGATGTCGATTCCTGCAAAAGTAGCGCCTTCTCGGCAGGGAGTTTTTCCCCCTTCCATGGGACAGAATAATGCAGAACGGTCTGGAAGACGGTCATAGCCGTGCTCACCCAAGAGAGTGTGGACAAAGGAGTAACGAGGAAGAACCTAGCACCTCGGTGTTAAAGTGTACCAAGAAAGCATCAGCAATAAAAACGTGGTTCTGCAGCCGCACGTGAGACCTGGGCCTCCTGGACCTGCTGCATTCTGGGGAGCACAGTAAGAGTCTAGACTGTGCCGGAACATGCTAGAACACCAGGCTGTTTACATTTAAATGAATCAAGATAGAGATTAAAAACTCGCTTTCAGAGTCTTACTGGCCACATCGCATGGGTTCTACAGCCCCATGTGGCCAGTGGTGGCCACCTTGGATGACCTAGACCGAGAACATATCCATCGCCGCAGAAAGCTCTGGAACTGGTCTGCCCTAGAGACAGGCCGGAGCGTGCGTGAGCCTTCGCATGGGCTGCAGGGGGCGCCGCAGACCCGAGGGGAGAGATGGAAGTGGGTGCTGGGCACCCCTTTGGTAGCCCACGTACTGAAATGGGGACGGTACGGAAGTCAGCGTGCCCCTGCTCAGGGACGCACGCACATTCCTGAAGCGTCCGTTCCGTGTTTTTCCGCAGAAGTTACGGTTCCGTGGAAGATTCCAAGGACATGAGGAGGGCTGGTATCTTGCAGAGGGCAAAGGGATCTTGGAATGTGAAGAATTTCTTTGGGGTGAATTCCATGGAAGTTTGTCATTGACCCGTGTTCCTGAACTATGGAGCATGCATATTCGAGCTCAGGAGTAGCTTCTCTTGATAAGTGAACAAGGAAGAAGTAAAAAAGAAAAAGAAAAAGAAAAAGAAAATGGGTGTTGGCTTAGTTGCTGTGCATTTGGAAAAGACTAAATAGATTCCTGCTTTGCCTTTACAGTAAAATGAAGTTTAGGTTCAAGATGTACATGTTTAAAACAACAAAAACAAAAACACAGAAGCTTTAAAATTTGTGCCGAGCGTTTTCACAGGGAGTGCTGTTGAATGAAGGAATAAATGAGTGACGGAGGATGGACGTGGTCAGGGGAGAGCCCGCACAGTGAAAGGCTGGTGGGGCGGGTCCTCTGCTGGAAAAATTAAAAACACATTGGTGTTTTCGTCCTGGCTGGTGTGGCTCAGTTGGTTGGAGCGTCATCCTGAAACCAAAAGGTTGCGGGTTCGACTCCCAGTCAAGGCACGTACCTAGGTTGTGGGTTCGACCTATGGATGCCCCTCTCTCACATCCCTGTTTCTCTTTCCCTTCCTCTCTTTCTTTTTTTTTAAATTTTAAAATATTTTTTAAAGATTTTTATTTATTTTTAGAGAGGAAAGGGAGGGAGAAAGAGAGAGAGAGAGAGAGAGAGAAACATCAATGTGCAGTTGCTGGGGGTCATGGCCTGCAACCCAGGCATGTGCCCTGACTGGGAATCGAACCTGCGACACTGGTTCGCAGCCCGCATTCAATCCACTGAGCTACGCCAGCCAGGGCTCCCTTCCTCTCTTTCTAAAAGCAGTGAAAACAATGTCCTCAGGTGAGGATAAAAACAAACACATGCATATTTTTATATGGGAGGGGGAACATACAAGGTTGAAAGATAAACAGGAACAAAAAATAGATGCATCACCACTGAAAAATAATATCCTTAGTATTAAGAGGTTTGTAAACTAGTAAGAAACAATATGACTAGACCAGTGACAAACTTATTTATTTATTTATTTTTTGTGAAAAGGAAAGGAAATGTTTATTTAATGCTATACAAACTTGAAGTAGTGACCTAATGTCTTTATCAAAAACCCAAAGTCCCCCAAAACACCCACAAACAGACACAGTCCTTCCTTCCTTCCCCCTTTGCCCAGTCCAGAGTACCGTATTTCAGGGAAGGAAAACGAAGTCCATGGCTCAGACAGTCCTCTGGTTCTTAGTCCTCCTTCTCGACTGGGAGACCTCCCTGGGTTCCCGGCACCCTCGGCTGAGTTGCCAGGATCTTTGCTAAAACCAGGTGGTGGTTCCCCCTTCTAAAGCTGCGGGGTTCCCCACTCCGTCCAGGCCTCGTGGTTCTCTCTCTCTGGGATGCGGGAGTCTCCACTCTGCTAAAGACGCATGGTTCTCTCTCTCAGGGCTGCGGGAAGAGGAGAGCCCCCACTCTGCCAAAGCCACGTGGTTCTCCACAAACTTATTTATTAATCATAAAAAAATAAAGAGACTTCCTTTCCATCAGTCTGAATAAACAGTCATTACCCAGTGTGGGCAGAGGTATCAGAAGATAGGCAATCTCAGTCCTCTCCCCTGGGCAGTCCAGGAAGGCTTCCTGGAGGAGAGGGCAGTGGACTGAACTCTCTAGGGCTCTGTGGCTGCAAACTGTTTGTTGTTCCCTAATTTACAGATGTACAACCGAGGCTCTTCCGAGGGATGAGGGTGATGAGCATTTATTCTTTTAAGGGAATCACTCATTTAAGTATTGTCGCCAGCCCCTGGGGACCGTCCCCATGAGTATTTTGGCACATTTTCCTTCCAGTCTCTTTCCTCTGTGCCGGAGTTCAGCGCTCCCACCTTTCGTTTTGTTTCCCACTTTCTCACCCCCGCCAACACATCGTGCACATTGCCCCCTGACGTGAAAAACCATTTGCAAACTGCATTTGGAGCGAACGGCTTCACCCGCAGCCTGATCCGCTCCCGAGGCCAGACGAGTGGGGGTGCGCGCGTTCAGGAGTCGGGCGCGCCCGCCGAGTCAGACTGCCGTCCTGGAGCCTTGCCAAAGTGTGGGCCGCGGGCGGGCGGGCGATGAGTGTCTCCTGGGGCGGTCCCTGCGGCCCCCGCGCCTGACCGCTGGACTTGCCCCACCCCCCCCTCCCCGCACAGACGGAGAAGGACATCCTGCTGCGCCCCGAGCTCGAGGAGCTGAGGAACGAGCATTCTGCGCGCTTCAAGCTCTGGTACACGGTGGACAAGGCCCCTGAAGGTGAGCGAGGGGCCCTTTGCTGGGCCCGAGGGGCTGGGGTGGGGGCGTGGCCCGCGGCTCCCTGTGCTGCGTCCCCCACAGTGTGGAGCCTTGTGCTCACGTGGCGTCTGAGGTGCACGCTCTCACGGTGGCTCCGGGAGGGGAGTTGGTGTGACACCACCTCACAGACGTGCAAAGAGGGATCCGAGAGGGGGAAGAAGTGCCCCACATCGCACAGCTGGAAAACTCCAGAGACAGGGCTGGGACTCAACTCGCTTGCTCCTCCTCCAGAGCCTTCCCCTGGCTGCACTGCCCCCTGCTGGACGAAGGAGGCTGGCCTTCCCCGCTCTAGCTGGGGCTCACTGTGGCCGGGTCTCCAGGGCCATTGCTGGGGCCGGGGCTGAGTATTCCCACTGTGCGTACCCTGGTAGGCGCTTTGCCCTTGTTTTCTCTTCAGTCATCTGCTTGGGGGTGGGGGGGGTGGGCTGGGCTGATTGATGGTCTTACCTGTCCAGGTGTTAAGCTCTTTGCCAAGGTCACCCAGTTGGTTGTGGAGGAACGAGAACCACGTGGGAGGTAGTGAATGGGGCTGTCCCCAGTGACACAAGGTTGCCCTCTGGGAGCTAAGCCTCTTCATTCCCCTGCCTTAGGTAGACATGGATGCAAAGCAATATCTTTGCTGGGAGAAAAGCAGCAGGTCAGGCTTCTTGGTAGATAATGCCCATGATGTTTGCTTCGGGGTCGGTAGACACTAGGGAGTGGTGGGGAGTGTGGCAAGCTGGTGAGCGTCTGGTCTGTCCAGAGGGGGCAGCCCCTGTCAGCTTCGGGCAGTCAGTTCTGCAGGACCTCAGTTCTGTAGCCCAGGCCTTCCCACTTTTTAGGGGAAGCTGAGTCTGCATTTTCATGGGAAGTTTCTAAATATTAGAAATGACATTTTCTTTTTTCTTTAAAAATTTTTTTTAAAAAGTTTTATTTATTTTTAGAGAGAGGGAAAGGGAAGGAAAAAGAGGGGAGAGAAACATCAATGTATGGTTGCTTCTCACGCTCTCCCTACTGGGGGACTGGCCTGCAACCTACACATGTGCCCTGACTGGGAATCGAACTGGTGACCCTTTGGTTCACAGGCCAGCACTCAATCCACTGAGCCACACCAGCCAGAGCAGAAATGATGTTTTAGAAGTACCCATATAGGCACCAGCTTGTCTCGTTCACGGTCTGCTCCCCTGCCCCTGCTTGGCCTCCGCCCCTCACACAGCCCCACAGTTCCCCGGAGGTCAACCCCGGTGGGGGAAGGCACCACCCGCAGCCTCTCCCGGTAATGCACAGATGGGCTCTAGGGGCTGGTGCCCATCCAATGAGCTAGGTGGTCTGGGCCCGTCTCTGAGACAAGAGCCTCCTTCCTGGGGGGTCATTCGGGTCCTGGGCCTCCTGGCTGAGAGCCAGACCTGGGCCTGGATGGACTAGACGGGCGGACCTGACAGCCGTATCCCGAGGCCTCTGGCTGGACCGGCTGCCCCGGGCCAGCCCATCCGAGCTCTGTGTGTGTGCACGGAGCCAGCCTGGCCCCTCAGGCCGGTGTCCGAGCGGGATGGACAGGAAACAGGTTTCATCGGTTACAGAGCAGAGGAGCGGGGGGTCAGTGAGACCCAGAGAAGACACAGCGGAGGCAGGCAAGGGGCTGGGGTGGAGGCTGGGCAGGGGACACAGGTTCTGGGAGTCGGATTGGAGCTGCTCCTCTTTTCGTAAAGAAGGGAACATTTATCTTGCACCAGCTCTCAAGCAAAAGGGGGAGAAAGAAGGCTCTGGCCTTCTGCTCTGGCTGTGGGTTCTGACGGTGTGTGGTGGGGCGGGCAATTAGCTGGGTGGGCAATTAGCCATGCAGGCCCCGCCCTGCCTGCTGCCAGCGGAAGTCCCCGCCCACAGGAAGAGGGGCCCACGCGACCCCTGCTGGTGTCCCATGGCAACGCCACGACCCAAGTGGGCACCTCCTAGGGATTGTTTCAATAGTAGTACCAGTTACAGGCCAAGGAAGTTTGTACGGTGGGTTTTCTCCTATCATTGTACACTTAACGTTTATTGTGACCCTGACCGACCCACATTTCAAGAGCCGTTAAGATATTGCTCTGACACCGGGTGTAAGCTGGACTTCCAGAGGCTGAGAAAGAAAATGGTAACTGGCCAGCCTGGCTGCCGTGGCGCTCGGCGAAGGAGCAGGCGGGGGCCAGCTCACGTGGCACATGCCGCTGACTCACGCCTCCCGCACGGAGCCGCCTCCAGCCCACATATAAAGACAAATACACCAGCTTTAAAGATCCTTGTAAAACGGAGGTCTGTCTTAATGACTTGCCCGTTCCATACATGAGCAAACACAGTCTCACTCCATGCAGTGTTTCACAAAGTCCTTTCAGATCTGTAGCCCCACCGTAAAAATGGCGTGTGTCCGTGCCCTCCCTGGTTCCAGATGGATTTTAGGCAGCTTCGCAGGACTCACGGAGTGAGTCAGAGTGGTGCAAATAGAAAGTGGGAGTGAGAGGAAAACAAGGGCAGGGCCGTAAAATGGAATCAGCAGTGAGGTTTGTACAAAAACACGGACTGGGATGCACATACACTGCTGATGGGCCGTGCGTATTATTCTGAGCTCCCCAGTGGCCAAAGTGAAAAGGGGGATGTGGTCAGTTACTGAGATCGGTGTCTATGAGACACAGAATGCTCTGCTGTTCAGCACCCTCATCGCCAAGACCAGCCAGGACTGTCTCGGCCCCTCCCTAGGGTCCCCCGTAGAGCGGACGGAGTGTGGTACAGTGCGTGTCGTCCATCTAGGCAAGGTCCCTCAGTCGCCTCCTCCTGACCTTGGGCTCACAGAGCCATGTTTCTGGTGAAGTCAAGGACTTTAGGGGAAAACAGAGACAAGCCAGATAACCAGGTGTTCGGGGCTGGAGGCGCTTGGAGGACAAGGCCATCCCCGGCCTCCTCCAGTCCCGGCGGGGCACTGGGGCCCTCTGGCACAGGCAGTATCCCTTCCTCGATCTCCTGCCCCTCCCGTCTGCTACCCACACTCCTGCTCGGTCCTGGCCCCTGGACCTCCACCTGCTGCCTCTCTCGTCATCCCCACTGCTCCCCCTACCCCCCGGACCAGGCTAGAGGATCTGCCTGGGTGATCACCCCAGCCACTGGCCAGCGCTCTGGGGCCGGCCTGGGTTCGGGCACCCACAGTGGGATGAGGACGTGGCCGGCGGTGGCTCCTCAGAGGGGAGGTCGCATGCGGCCGATGGTGGGCACGCTCTGGTCCCTCCATCCATCTGTCCCTCCGGGGCCAGCTGAGAGGACCCTGGCTGCACGGCCGGCACGTGCCCTCGGTCCCCGAGTAGTGTTTCTCCCCACGGAACACCGGAGAACCGTGAGGGAAGGCCAGCTCCACGCGGGGTCCCCTCCTCGCTCATCCAAAAGAAGAGGCAACTGGAAAGAAGGAGGGAGCCCTCCTCTCGCCAGACCTTATAACCCTGTGCGGCAGGCAGGATAGCACTGTGAGGACAGATGTGGAAACTGAGGCACCGAGGGGTCGTTTGCCCAGCGGAGTGGAAGCCAGGGCTACAGAGGAGAGGTGGGCGTCTGCACCACTCCTCTTCCTGCCTTGTGCCCCCGACACGGCCCCCAGTCGTCAGAGCGCCCCCTCCTCCTGTCCGAGCCCCACCAGCCTCCGTCCCTGTTAACCCACTGTGTGCCCGGGCTGGGTGGTCCCCTCTGGGGGCAGTCCCAGCAGCACATCGGTGCCTGAGGGTCCGTGCTGGACAGGAGTCCTTGCTGGCCTCACCCTGGGCACTGCGAGTCGCTAGGAGGAATGAAAGAAGGTTCCAGATCTTGGGTGACTCCTGGAGACACACTGTGTGTGCGCATGTGCGAGACGAGGAGGCAGGTGGGACCTGGGGGCGCCAGTGCTGCTGCGTCTGGCGCTCTGGCGTGCGTCTGGGTCCTGCTGTTTCCAGGCTCCTCGGCTGCGTGTTTCGGATCCTTTCTTCCTTCGTTATTAATTGAGCAAGTGCTGTGTACCGGGCTGTCTGGGCCCTGGGAGCACAGCCCCGACCCAGACAGGGCTCCTCCGAGGCCGACACTCTGCTGGGAACCAGAGTCAGACAGTGGGGATGGGGGAGAGGCGTCCGTAGAGGATGTCACCTTGACCGGCCTGGGGCTGGACACTGGCATGGGGACAGACGTCTGGGACCTGCAGTTCACATCCTATCGCCGAGTGCATCTCTCATCGTGTGTGACCTTGGACAACTCGGTTCTGGGTCCCCTGGGCCTCGGTTTCCACATCTGTAAAATGGGATCATCAGTCCTCTCCCTGTCCACCCACAGGGCAGTTCTGAGGGCCACCTGCAAGGCCACGTGGACACCATGAAGGGCTGTGTTTGGGTCATGGGCAGGCCAGGCCAGGCCGGGGCATCAGGGAGGCCTGCTCGGATTAACCTCTTCAGTCTTTGGAAACAGCTGAAAGGAGGGAGGCATTCACACCCATCGGCCGGTGGGGGGAGGGTGTCGGGCAGGTGGGCGGTCCTCCGTCCGCCCCGGGGCAGCACCGGAGCTCACACCGTCTCCCGCCCCACAGCGTGGGACTACAGCGAGGGCTTCGTGAATGAGGAGATGATCCGGGACCACCTGCCGCCGCCGGAGGAGGAGCCGCTGATACTGATGTGCGGCCCCCCGCCCATGATCCAGTACGCCTGCCTGCCCAACCTGGACCGCGTGGGCCACCCCAAGGAGCGCTGCTTCTCCTTCTGAGGGCCAGCACTGGCCGCCTGCGCTCCCCCCACCCCACCGCCCGCTGCTCGTCCTCACGTGCCCTGTCTGCACCCCCCCCTTCCTGCCATCTGTAAGGTCATGCCCCCTTCATTTCACACGATGGCCCCGGGCTCAGCTTGGCCTGCCCATGCCTGGGTAGCCACTCAGCCGGGCTGGCCCCCAAGGGGCCCCTTTGGGAACAGGGTTCTGTTACAGTGGGCCGCCACAGCCACCTTTGGGGCAGGTTCCTGTCTGACCCTCACCAGGTCCTACCAGTGATGCCCGGCCCCGGGTCCTGTCCCTCCCGCATCCCCACAGCCCCCACACTTCTGGGGCAAGGCCATCAGCACCGTGTACCACCCACCCCTCCCAGAGCAGACCCCAGTCAGAAAGTAAACGTACCGAAATGGGCAGCCCGGAGTTGTAGGTGCCGAGGAACCCCCTGCCACTACCTTGGGACCCTCGCCTGCCGCCTCTCACTACCCGCCTCCGGGCTGGGCCAGGCCTTAGCATCTGACACTAAACACAGTTACTGCCCAAACGTCCCCTCGGCAGGGACTGCTGGGGGTGAGGGGCTGCCCCCACCTCAGGGCCCAGGGAGGAGGGGGCTGGTGGAGGGCCCCTCTGGCTGGCACATGGGCCCTCCGGAAGCCTCCACGTTTGCTCCAGTACACGTGGGTGTTCCGCGGCTCTGGGAGTCCCAAGCCGTTTGCTCGGTGTTTGGTTCGACCGCTTCGGCGTCCTGGGCCACCAACCCTGATGGCAGAGCTAAGACACGGCTCGCGTTTATTTATTCTTCTGCCCCAAACCTGCCCGCCCTGCTGCCTGCACCCCAGCGTGGGGGAGATTTCGAGCAGATCCTCTCATGTGAGCCACATTCTCAGTGGCCTTGACATTGCCTTTAGACAACAGTTGGGTAGGCCTTTGCAGATCGGCTTTTTCAGAGTCATTTATGAACAGAAAAAAAAACGTTGAAATAAAACTTTGCTAATATTAACCCTCGTGTGGCTTCTTGAGGCTATGACCTGTGTCCCTCTGGGGGGTGGCAGGGAGGGGGACAGGAAGGGGCTGTGCAGAGCCTGGCATTTAGAGAGTGCAGAAAAGTATACACAGGGAAAGAAAATAATGCCAGACATCCAGAGGCAAACGACTTGAATGAAACCACAGGGTCCACCCTGCGGCCGCTGCTTTTACCCCTAATGTCAGATGAACCGTTAGCATGAACCCAAGTGTAGCGAGTCCCCCATGGTTGGACAGCAAGGCTGCTTTCGGTGTGTGGACCTTGTAAATAACGGTGGCATCTTTACCTTCCTTCTGGGCTGTTTGTTTTAGGATGGGTTCCTGGAAGCAGAAGGCTGGGCCAGAGGCCGTGGACCCTGGGAGGCTCAGGTACCATAGTGAAAGCCCGTGGCTGGAGTGGAGTGGGGAGGAGCAGGGGATGGGGAGTTCACAGGAAGAAACCTGAGGCTGGGCTTTGGGGGCCAGGGGAGCCCCTTTTTTCTCTCCTCTCACCTATTCTGTCCCCAGTGGTCTGGAAAAGGACTGAACCTGGGAATCCCTGGCCCCAAGAGCCCTTCTTCACACCTACAGTGTGCTGGGCTCTGCTGAGCAATGGAGGTCTCCTCATTCACATAGTAGGTCTCCTCATTCCTGTCTCCACCTGGAGGATGAGAAAACAGGCCTGAGGGTCGGGCTCTGAGCGTACACCTGCATGAGCCCATTAGACGCTGTCTCCAGGAGCAGGGAAGAAGGGTGTGAATTGGCCTTGGTCTCCCTGCTCTCTCCCAGTCTCAGTTTCCCCACCTGTAAAATGGGTGTGTGAACTAGGTCTGTGATTTTTCCACCCTCTCAGACCTGATACGCTTTCAAAATAACATTTATAACAACCCCTTTACCCTCCTGAAGGGAATTCACAGGTAATATCACCAATTATACTATAAAAGAACAAGCAAGAAAAGGAATTTATAAAGTGATGCACATTCCAGCCTGTAGACGCTGCCCAAGTCCCCTCAGAAGGCAGGTAGAACAGGGTTTTCCCCAAATGCTCGGTCCCTGAACTATCATAGCCCCAAATGCAGCCGGGCCCTGGGACTCTGTCTGCTGGCAGGAAGCAGGCCAAATTTTTCCAGGCAGAGTGCAATCCTCCGTCAGTTTCCAAACATTTCCTTAGCTACCGCGCAGCTGCATTGCTGGCAATTCGTGTTTTTTTTTTTTTCACGCCGGACAAAAAGTCCTTCGTGTTCATACAAGAAGAGTGAAGCCCAGTTCAGCATCGTAGCAGGCCGCTCAGCTCCGGGAATGTCGCCAGCGTTGGAAAACTGTCCCCACCTCCACGTGACCGAATCCCTGTCGTCCAGACAACCAAACAGGATCCCACAAAGCTGGGAAACGCCCCTGAGGAAAGGCTACCCCGCTGTGAACCCAGAATAGGTTGATCTCAGTTATTGGTCCTATTGTGCTGGCTTAAAAAAAAAAAAAAAAAACATTGAACTGACTTTTTTACATTTCACTTAAGGGGCTACAGGGCGTTAACTCCCGCGTCCTCTGGCCGCTCCCTAATTCTTCCACACCTGAGCGCCCCGGGCTGAGACCGAACCTGGGCGCTCCCCCCGCACCCCTGTGGATGGCAGGCTTGGTGGTTGCTGTTCACAGTCGAGAAAAGGAGGGCCAGCCAGCACCCACTCACGCCGCCCAGTTGAGACCTGGGTTCTCTTCCTCTGGTGCCCAACCTCAGACCTTACGGCTTTACCACTAACCCGTCTTTCCATGGAGCTCCTGGTGCCAGATTTTTTATTGTAGCGTGATATCCTGTCAAGAATACGTGACTAACCGCTTTCACCCTAATTAAAAAAACAAAACAGTACCTAACTCCATTCGCAGTGTTGGACTAAGAAAATAATAACATCAACATAAAATTCATAGACCAGTGAGTTCGTACTCGGCGCTTTTCTAAAGACGTCGTTTGCATTTATCGATTCGACGAGCGCGTCAAGTTCGGCGCTGGAGTCAGGTTAAGGCAATTCTACGTATAAAACACTTCTCCGAACCAGTCTATCTCATCTTCGCAAAGACCTGTGACTACGTATCCAACTTCACAGATCAGTAGTACGGGTCATTTGCCAACAGTGTGCGGCCGAAAGCCACCCTCACTCGCACCTTCACCTACAAAGTAACGTTTTTGACTCTCGAAGAAGAGACGCAGCCCAATTTCATTCCCCTTCTTACAAGTCCATCTGCTTTTTAAGCATAAAGGGACGGGCAGATCGCGACTCCCAGGCATCCCGCAAAGTAGGCGGGTCACCTTAGGGGCAACCTTTACCCGCTCAAAAATTCGTCTCACATTAGCAGTGAGGATTCGGGCGTCACCCCGAATCGTTATTTTCCTTACTCATAAGTTTAAGGCATAAACGCAACTTTTTGTCACTTTCCACATAATGAATCTTAATCCTATTAGTCCTACGGTGAGTACCAAACTTGATCGTTGAACTGAGACTCCCGTTCCTTTGAAGTTGGCCTTAATGCTAGTTAATATTTTATGTCGCTTTCCATATTATTTGTCCAGGGGAGAATACAGAACGATAATCACAGAACCTCCGTATGCAGATAAGCAGATTGTGTCGCTAAGGCTCCTGGAGAACGTTCCGCCCCTTCCGGTTCTTGCCTCATTTGAGCTGTCGCGAGAGTTCGTCGACCGAACGCCGGAAACAGTCGCACCGTAGTGGCTGAAGGGGCGGGACCTGGGCGTGAGGGAATCTAAGCTGCTCTGTGGTGCAAGATGGCGGACATCTCTTTGGACGAGCTTATCCGGAAGCGCGGGGCTGCGGCAAAGGGACGGTAAGCGGCTTTTTCTTCCCTTCGGGGTTTAGGGTACGCGGCCTAGCGGGGCTCGGGGCTGAGGAGAGAGGGGCTCCGGCGCGACGCGGAGGGCCGCCTGCTCCCGCCCCCTGCCGTAGCCGCGCCGCTCATTGGCCCGGCCGCCGCCACCGCCGCAGGCCTGGACATCCGGCTGCCTACTGGCTGCGGGCGCCGTCGGCAGCGGCGGCGGGACCGGGGTGCCCTGGGGTCCCCTGGGTCTGCCCGGCTCAGCCCCCTGTCCGGAGAAGACGGGCGCTTGGGCTGCGCTTCTCCGTGCCCTGAGCGCGGCGCCGAGCCAGGACCCCTGAACTTCAGCGGGGAAGCCACTCGCTCTGCCTCCGCCGGGACCTTTCGTGGGCACACCCCGCGCCCGGTTCCCCGCTCGGAGCCGCTGCCGTTAGCACTCGCCCCCGCGCTCCTGTCCCCACGGCGGCGTGGGCTCGTTCGCAGCCCCGTCGGCCCGTTACGAGCGGGGCCCCCAGTTTGCAGACGCGGAGCCCGAGGCTGGCGGCCGCGGGGAGCGGGGCGCGCCGGGGCGCGGGGCGGAGGCGGCTTCGGGCGTGGGCAGGAAAACGGGCTGGGCTGGAGGGTGGCCGTTTCTGCCCCTTTTGTTTCTTTTAATTGAATTTATTGGGATGACAGTGGTTCATAAAATCACCGAGGCTTCAGGGCGGCCACTCTGTAACGCGTCATCTGCGTGTTGTATGGAGGGCTCTCCGCCGAGTCGAGCCTCCCTCCACCCCGGCTTCGCCCCCTGTGCGCGCTCCTGCCCGCCCCTTCCGCCCCCTTTGGCCGCGTCCTGGGGGTTGTAGCTCGGCTCTCGGAGAAAACTCGGCTGGGCGAGGAGCTTCGGACTCCCTCGGGCCCCTCCGGTGTTGTCGGCCGCCTCCAGCCCGTGCAAGCCGCGGCTCACCTGTGCGAGTGAGCGGGCGTGAGCTGCCGGCGGTTTTCCAGCGCACGCCACATTAGTTTAAATGTGTACGGCCGGCTGTAAAGATGTTACACATTGTTTTCTCAGTCAGTCATTCACTCAGCAGATGCTTGTTAATACCGCCCCGTGCTTGCGGCCCTTGCTGTCTGAAGTGTACCCCCCCCCCGTTTACTGCCAGCGCTTCACCTGGCGTCTGGCTCACGACAGCTTCTCAGTCCTCATTCCCTCGGCCATTCCTCGAGACCAGTTCTCTCCTAGGTCTTTCCTCTCGTAACGGGCGAGGAATCGGTGCTGCGTCCTCCGGCCACTTCTAAACTGTCCCGGCTTCGGAGGTTTGCTCAACAGTTGCTGAGTGAGCGGGCATCGCAGGACGGGCTCCCCGCAGGCCCTGACTGCGGGTGGTCTCCATCCGCTGGGCCTGTACGGTTTTGGTGTGGGCGTGGGCAGAGGCTCGGGTGGGGCAGTGGGTGGGGCTGCGGGAAAGCCGGCTGTGTGCGCCCCGGCGAAGAGCAGGGACTGTGCCTGCAGCCTGGCAGGCCGGGTTGTGGGGTTCGGTGCCTCTGGGGCTGGATGACTTCTGGGCTGGGCAGTTTCCTCACTCGGGATGATGGTTGCTAGTAGGTCATTGAGAGGATCAAATATAAGAACATCAGAATGTATATTTTATCCCGATGGACCAAGGTTTCGGGTTCGATCCCCAGTCGGGACACATACAAGAAACAACCAATGAATGTGTCAATAAGTGAAGCAACAAATCGATGTCTCTCTCCCCCTTCTCTCTCTCTCTCTCTCTCTCTCAAAATCAGTAAATAAAGAATCATTTAAAAGAGAATGTATACTTTAAAGTTTGTATCAGGCAGTAAGTGTTCAGCAGGTGGAGGTAATTATCATTTCCTTCTCCTTAGAGCGGTAGAAGCCCTCCCTGGCCGGTGTGGCTCAGCGGGCTGGAGCGTCACCCCGCAACCGGGAGGTTGTGTGTTTGACCCCTGGTCTGGCTGCACATGGGAGGCAACCAGTCAGTGTTTCTCCCTTTCTCTCTCTCAAAGCAGTGAAGCCCTGGCTGGTGTAGCTCAGTGGATTGGGCCTCGTCCTGCAAGCCAGAGGGTCCCAGTTTGATTCCTGGTCAGGGCACATGTCTGGGTTGCGGGCAGGTCTCTGGTTGGGGTGTGTGAGAGGCAACCGACCAATGTTTCTTTTGCACGTCCATGTTTCTTTCCCTCACTTTCTCCCTCCCTTCCCTCTCTCTAAAAATAAACAAAATCTTTTTTTTTTTTAATGTCCTCAGGTGAGGATAAAAAAATAAGTAGAAGCCAGACCCCTCCTGAGAACATGCTGGGTAAGCCCTGGGGCCCTAGAGTCAGGCGCCCTGGTTCAGTTCCCTGCTGCTCCCACCTTCCATATCACCTTTTCCAAGTTGCTTAACCATTTCCTTATGTATGAAATGCAGGCAGCACTTGTTTCGTTAGGCTGTTGTGAAGACTAAGTGAATTAAAACATCTGAAGTACTTAAAAAGTGAGCACGAAGTGCTCGATAGATGTTAGCTTTTATTTTTTTTTAATTGAAAGTGTTTGAGTAAGGAAGTGACAGGCAGTTTTCAGTGTGAGGATATTGCTTTGCTATTATGTGCAGATCAGGTTGGGAGCGAATGCAGGTGAGAGGCAGGTGTGGAAGAAGCTGGACTGCACGCTCTGATTGAGTTAAACCTGCCGGAAGCTCCGTTTCTAGTTTGCTTCACAGCCAATGAGGAGAAAAACTAGATCTGGAGGTCCCTGTCAAGAAATGTACGAAGTGTGAACCAGTGTCATTTCCTACAGTAAATGGAGTCTGTTCTTCGTGTTTTTTAGAATATTCCTCCCTGGGAACTTGGGTTGAACATTGCTTGGATGTCTGAGGAACTTTGATCTTAATAACTTAGGAAGAACCTGTGTTTATCTCAGAAAAGTGAAAGCACTAAGAGACTGAGCCTGTGCAGGCGTAAAGAACCTTCTTCCGCACAGGCACGGAATGCGCTTGCACTTGAGAGCAGACGTTCTGTTCCAGTGTTCATTACGCCTTGTAGGTCAGGAAACGGGTCACCATTATGTGGGCCCCAGTTAATTGAGTACCGCTGCATCCGCGCCACAGTGAGGCATTGCTTTCCCACGCACAGCACACCCATAGTGACCGCAGTCGCCCCAGACGCACAGATGAGTCTCCTCGGGACAGCGCTGGGCACCAGCTGCTGTCCACCAGCTGCTGTCCAGGCCTGTCCCTCCCACCAGTTTCTTCCTTCGGATGTCCGGGCATCACTGATTGGGTTAGTTAAGAACTCTCTGGTTTGATTAGTTTGATCCTCAGAGGGCAGCTCTCTGTGTACGGCATCCGTGTGGTTGGATGAAGGTGGCAGGCAGCCTCGGTGGGAAAGTCGGGCCGTGAGTGTGCTGGAGTTATCAGTCCTGGGCGCGTGCCCTGTCTGCGGGTGGGGGTGTGGGGGGGGTTGGAGAGCTTTTCAGTCCAGGCCAGGGCCCTGGTCTGGGTCCTCACTGCTTTTTTCCCTGTTGAAATAAGATAAAGGAGATGTATAACTAAAGCAAAGAAGGGGTAACGTAGTTATTACATAACTGGGGGGAAGAATTAAGATTTAAAATGAAACATCTCCACAAGACGAGATCTCTTAGAAGGTAGGGGGATAATGTGTTGTTTTTCTGAATGTGTCTAAAGTACTAATTCAGAATTGACCGCCAGTCGTGGAGCCAGACTGTGTTTTCCCGTATAAAGATGACCTCGACACACACGTACTCTCACCCAGGGACCCCGGGATTAAAATCCACTTTATAATAACCTAGACCACAGTGGTCGGCCTGCAGCCTTCGGACCAGACGTACGTCCAGAGCCAGCTGCCGCTCCGCCCTCCACAGGCAGAGCTGAGACGTCGAGGCGCTCCTCACCCTGCTCAGACCCTGTCCAGTCATTCCTCGTGTTCAGGCTTCAGGGGGCGTTGGCGCTGTCACCCACAGCACCCTGCCCGGGACCGCGGGGTACTGGCGAGTGGAAGCAGCACACAGTGTCGCCCTGTTTGGGGTACAACAGGATGGGGCAGTCAAGAGACTTGCTCAAAACGTCCCTCTCCCCTCCTCCCAAACATTGACTGCGGCCAGAAGTGCAGAGTGTTTGGGGATCATTGGATAGTCTGCAGGCAGAAGTTGGGGCCACACCAGGGGCTGCGCTGAGGGGTTGAGCTTTGTTAGGGTTAGGGAACCCGCAACAGTTCCTAGGGCAGCGGGATAACATAATTGACTCTGTTTTAGAGACCTGCTTCTAGCAGGAATGTTTATTTGAGAAATTCTTGATGACTAATGCTTGCCTTATAACCAAACCTGCTGGGACGAATAGCCGTCTCTTAATGCAGGAACCGGAGCAGTGGTTGTGGAAAGCCTGAGCACTGCACCCCGCTAAAGCTGTTCTTGCGAGCAGTCGAAAAGAACTGGAAAAGAGTTGGGGTGGCCAGGGAACTACATGCATGGAACTGAGGGAAGTTAGCTTACTCACCATGACCCATCACCTCCCTTTCCCAAGTGTACCTTTTGCACTGTTCCAGTGGATGAAACACTGCTGCACACGGCTGGTACTGTCTGGTGGTCTTTCTTGCCCGACAAGCAGTACGGGGTGTGGGTCCCAAGTGCGTGGACATCCTCTAAGTGTGCGCTTACTTATTACCCTCTGGCCACTTGCGAGTGGGCTTTTCCCCTGGGCATGACTGGAGTCCTGAGATTTCCCTTAACCTGCGGACAGTACTCACCCTTCAAGTTGTGGTCCTATCTTTTTTTCCTGCCCTAAAGATTTTCTTTCTTTATATTTAGGAAGAGGGAGGGAGAAAGAGGGAAAGAAACAGCAATGTGAGAGAGAAACATTGATTCGTTGCCCCTCACATGCCCCCAACTGGGGACCTGGCCCACAGCCTGGGCATGTGCCCTGACTGGGGACTGAACCAGTGACCCTTTGGTCTGCGGGACAAGGCCCAGCCCACTGAGCCACACCAGCCAGGGCTAGCTTTACTTTTTGAACACA